ACTTGAAGATGTCCGGACTTCAACTCCCAGAATTCCCCAGCCAGCGAATGCTGGCTGGGGAATTCTGGGAGTTGAAGTCCGGACATCTTCAAGTGGCCAAGGTTGGGAAACACTGGCTTAGATGGACACTGGAGTCTTTGGGTGTCAACACAAATACGTCCCAAAGGAGCTTTTGCAAAAGGCAACTGGACTTTCTTGATTTTGTTCCAAAAGTTTTCCTTCTCCTTCAAGAAGCTTCAGGAGGAAGAAATGGGAATTGAGGAAGCTTCCTGGACGAGGAGGGAAACATTTTCAAAGGAAGAAAACGAGGAAGTCCGGTTGCCTTTTGCAAGAGAGCTTTTGGGGCAGCCATGACTGGGCTGAGACCCTCCGGAGACAGCTCAAGTATGGGGGAGAGGGTTGGTACCCCATGCTTGGATCTCCAGAAAGCCGAGGCTCCTCGCTCGCGAGCTCCCCAGTGGGGGCTCCCCTGCTGGCTGAGGGCAGCTGCTGTGGCCCTTCTCGGAGGGGGGGAGCCCTGTGCCCACCGTCAGCACCCCTTCTCATTTTTGTGCCCCAGGGTTCACCATCCTCATCGAGCCCTTTGACGACAGGACGCCCACCATCCTCAACCCCATCCTGCACTTCAGGTGAGGGAGGGGCTCCGGGGCCTGGCTGTGGCTCTGCTCTTCAGAGGACGGAGGCTCTCTGGCTGCCTCGGCCCTCCTTCTAAAGTGGGGGGGGGGTCTGGGCTGGGAGGAGGCGCCCCTCCCTCTGTGTCGCCTCCGCTTCCAGTTGCCTCCGGCAGAGAACTCGGTGCTGTCTCTTCCAGCTGCATGGACGCCTCCATCGCCATCAAGCCGGTCTTTGAGCGCTTCCAGACGGTCATCATCACCTCAGGAGTGAGTGGGGGGCAGTGGGGGGTGCTCGGCCATCGGCAGGACCCCCTCTCTGTGGGGCTGGAGGGGTGGGACGCTGCCACCCTGACCTGCTCTTTTCCTCCCTGGCATTCAGACCCTTTCCCCGCTTGACATGTACCCCCAAATCCTGGACTTCCGGCCGGTCACCATGGCCACCTTCACCATGACCCTTGCGCGGACCTGTCTCTGCCCGATGGTGAGTGCCAGAGGCCGGGAAGAGACTCCTGCCCTCCCCTTCCCTTCCCAGGGGACCAGGCTCATTTCGGCCTCTCCTCAACCGTCTCCCTGGCCCTTCCTCTCCTCGGCTTCCCTTCCAGATTGTGGGCCGCGGGAACGACCAAGTGGCCATCAGCTCCAAGTTCGAAACCCGCGAGGACATTGGTGAGGGTCTGTGATGGGGAGGGGGCAGCAGAGCCTGGAGCCTCCTCCCTTCCCAGGGGCCGGGGGCATCCGTGCCCTGGTCCGTTCAGGCTGCCTAGCGGAGGGGAGGGGAGTGCTGAGCCCGCTTGCAGTTGAAGGGGGGGGGGATTTTGTGGGGCGACCCCTGCCTTGCCCTCCCCTCCCCTCCCGGCCCTGTGGGGAGGGGCAGGGGAGCCTGGCAGCCTGAAGGGAATGTGCTTCTCCGGCAGCGGTGATCCGCAACTATGGAAACCTCCTGCTGGAGATGTCGGCCGTGGTCCCTGATGGCATCGTGGCCTTCTTCACCAGCTACCAGTACATGGAGAACATCGTGGCCTCCTGGTATGAGCAGGTAGGCCAGGCCGGCTCTGCTGGGGGCTGCTTTCGGCGGGGCCTTTTGGGGGCTCTGGCCAAAGCGGCAAACGGGGGCGGTTCCTGGTGGGCCTGAAACCCCTCAGGATTTCAAGGGGGGAAAACTCTCAAAGGCTTCTAAACGGGACGTCCAAGGCCAGATTGGCCCACTTGGTCTCGGTCAAACGCTCCGTCCCACCTGCGGAAGGGCAGCCTGACTGCTGTGTTATTTTGGGGAGGGGGTTTCCCTCCCCCCTCTGTCCTCATGAGCTGCAGCCTCCACAGCTCCTCTTGCACTGCTCCTCCTCCTCCTCCTCTCCTTCTCCAGATGCAGGAGCTGAGCTGAAAGCAGCCAGGAATCTGCTCTGCTCACAAGGCAAATTGGCCCTAGATAAAAGTCAATTCTGGGGGTGGGGGGGGCAGAAGTTTAGTTTAGTTTAGTTTAG